GCTCACGTTCAGCAACATCTTATCAGCGAACCACAGATGGCTACTGGCCTGAGTCAGACCAGCTGACTAACTCTTGCGAGGAAACAGAGGGAGGACGTTTCAAATGAATATTTGGACTGAATCATGTTATTAATTCTCAGTCCCAGTGCTGCCAGACTGCTGACAATATAAAACCAGGCTCTGAGATGTCACTATAAGTAAGCTCATGCAGTTTAATTCAGTTGCCACCCCTTTGTATTTTGTTGTTGGGAAACAGAGACTTCACATATATACCGTGGTGCAGTTTTTCTAATCAATTTATAGATAAATATACTCTAAAGATAAGTAAACACTGTGCACCTTCTGTTGTTTTTCAAGCCACAGCCCTGACCACACTGTTCAAATGGCTTCCTGAGTACTGTGGGGGTGTTCTCTAAACTCATCATCACTCTCTCAAGCTAGAGAAAATAAAGATACATACTGTATAGTCTATATACTATTGTATAGTATGTACTATATATTACACTATTACAAATGCAAAAAAACTAATACAATTAAATTACAAATACACAAGTGTTAATTGTGCACAAACAGGAAATCACAGACAAAGAAGAAGGAACATACTACAGGTATTGAATAAGTTTAGCCACAGCCATTAACAACAGCAAGGGCCACCACCGGTCAAAGAATATCACTTTCATCAGAGCCGGAGAGAAGCCACACACACAACCGAGAGTTAAGTCAGGCCTCCTTACCACTTCCACCGACTTGCCACAGGAAGTGGACCTGGGCATGCAGCTTAAGTTCCCCGCTCGAATAACGTCAACAGGGCTTCGACCAGATATGATCATCGTTTCAATCAAGTCCTCAAAGCAACGGATCATGCTGAAACTCACTGTGCCCCGGGAAGAGAGTATGGATGAGGTCAATGAGAGGAAGCGTACCAAATACCAGGAGCTTGTGGAGGAGTGCAAAATGCAAGGCTGGCAAACTGTGAGCCTGTGGAGGCTGGGCTGCCAAGGATTAGCAGGGTGTTCACTCTGTAAAGTGTTCACCTCTCTGGGAATCACTGGGGAGGCAAAGAGGAAGGCCATCAGTTCTGTTACTGAAGCTGCAGAGAAAGCCAACAAGTGGCTATCAATCAAGAGGGCAAACTCATGGGTGAATTCTGGGGTCTGATCAACCCTAGCTGGGTCGCCTGGGTGAGGGTGTTTGTTGTTGAAAGACCCGATACACCCGATGACCCCAAGTTACAACACTGATGATGCATCCTGGTGCATCTGCATGATGTATGTATCAGTGTGTTTGATGAATATCTGTTGTTGTGTGTTTCCATCTTTGCAGTTCTACTCAAAGAACAAAGGTTCCATTGCCACAACTCTCCTGAAGCCCAAACAAAAACAAGGAGCCAAGTCAGCTGAGTTGGAGCTGTCTAAAAGTGAGCCTGATCATCAAGATTTGAGTCCCAAGAAAGACATTTTTATATAATAATTTAAATGAATTATTGGTAAATATTTGTTGTCCATCAAATATAATAATGATGATTGTGGAAGTATGTAAAGGTATGTGTCAGGTTTAAAGTATTGTTCATCATATCTCTCCTCTCCAGATGGATGGCTGATGGACATTACAAAGCTCATCCTGGGAGAGACTATTGGAGAGGGGGAGTTTGGCGGTGAGCTTTTTATTTGCTCTTATTATTATCAGCCTATCTTTGAACCCTCACAACATTTATAATGAAAACGTGTCATCAAACATTTGCAAAGAAGAAGAATTCTGTCTTTAGTAAGGATGTATTCTGATGTGTGATTCTCCACCCCAGCTGTTTATGAAGGAGAGTATATGGGCCAGAGGGTGGCAGTAAAGATCATAAAATGTGATGTCACCGCTCAGGCATTCCTGCAGGAGACAACCGTCATGACGTGAGTCAAAACATTTCCTCGGTTTTAATATTTTTCCTGTTTTGCAACCTGTTCTGTCAGTGTTTTTAATGTAGATTTAATCCTTCCAGGAAGCTCCAGCATAAAAACCTTGTACGATTGTTGGGGGTCATTCTTCACAAAGGGCTTCATATTGTCACAGAGCTCATGACTAAGGTACAATAAACACATAATTTATCAGCTGGAAAATAAAACACAATTATAATTATGAGCCGTTAACAAGATAAAATAATACAATATAGGGAACATTGTGAATAAATACTGAATGTAGAGTGAAGAGGAACTCAGCACAATTATTCAAAAATACACAATGTTACATCATGCGATGAAGCAGAAAAGAAAATCACATCTAAGTGAAATACTGTAGGTTTGTGCTTTTTGACCAAAATCTTTCCAGATAAGTCATCGACAAGAAATCTACTTGATGTAGCGTCTCCCAAACACAAAGGTGGAGTTAACAGCTAAGAATAAATCTGATTGTTTCTGCAAATTCACCACAAGCAGCTAATGAGAACATTTTTAATTGGGGGTTGATCAGTTTACTGGGGTTGTTTTACCTTCTCTGTAATCAAGTCGAAAATTGGTGAATGCCCTGCTGCTAACTATGATGGCAATGCAGCTGTAGGGAGTCCGAGTCTTTCTCTGTTGGACCTTAAGTATAGTCCTATTATGACTTCAGGTGACATTTTAAAGTACCAAACAACTTGTTTAGCACTGGGTTAACAGATTGCAAATACACTGCACCACAAAAACGTTATCCGCTGCTATAGTATTTCTGTCTAAGTGAGGTATTCCACATAATGCTAACTGAGAAATCTTCCAATGGAACCTTATTCAAGTATTTTATCTGTGTATGTTTGTGTTGCAGGGAAACCTTGTTAACTTTCTCAGGACAAGGGGACGTTCAGTCGTGAACTCAGTTCAGCTGCTCCACTTTGCTCTGTGAGTTAAAACTTCAAAGACCATCTTTGATGATTTGAATGTTTTGTAGAGCAGAAATTAGAGCGTGTGCACAGAAGCAAATTGTGCGTCAGGAGATGGACTGCTGCGTAATTAAATGCAAAAAAGGCCTGTAAATGTAAATACATGGTGTGTGTGTTTATATGTATGTTGTCAGTGATGTGTGTGAGGGGATGGAGTACCTGGAGTCCAAGAAGTTGGTTCACAGAGATTTGGCAGCTCGTAACGTGCTGGTCTCCGATGACAAAGTGGCCAAGGTCAGCGACTTTGGGCTGACCAAGGTGGACTCAAAGGTCTCAGATAATGCCAAACTGCCCGTCAAATGGACCGCCCCTGAGGGTCTGAAGAAAGAGGTCGGTTTGAAGACCTGCTTTCCTTTTACCTGGGATATTTCTATATGTGTTTCTGCCTCTCTACCTGTGATACTTAAGTGATATCTCTGAAGACTCTACACTTCGCTTTGACTTCCTGATTAAGCATAATTAACAGTATTTCATTTCATTTAAATACTCAAGCAGCTTAACACTTGCTTCTCCTTCTTTGTTGGAAAGTGTTCTAAATAGTTGTCACATTTAGTGATCACTGAATCCTAACAATTCAATCATTTGTCATGCACGTACATAAGATAATGTCACTAAAATGGCGGCAAAGAAACAGAAAAGACCTAGAAAACACTAATATTTTGTGGTTACATTTGCTTCCATTATGCAGAAATTCTCCACGAAGTCAGATGTTTGGAGCTACGGTGTTCTTCTGTGGGAGATCTTCTCTTACGGTCGCCAGCCTTACCCTAAGATGGTGTGTATCATAAGTGTGTGTGTGTGTGTGTGTGTGTGTTTATATGGGTGTGTCACTAGTCACATAGGTGAATTACAGACATGCAAGTTTCAGAAAAAACAGCGGTAAACCAATACTTCACCATTTTAGGAAATACACTTATTTGCTTTTTTGCCAAGGTTTAACATATCTCTTATCTCTGTCCATTATATTTGAAGCTTGAGAGCCTGGCTCCTCTGTCTGGTAACAAAATCCAGCTAAGCAGCACCTCAAAAGCTTACTTACTATCTCATTAATTTGATCTGTACAAAAACCAATGTGTTTAAAAGACAAGTTGTGATTTTATGGGGGATTATCTGCCAGACTATTTCTTGGCCAGGACTAGTTCAAGTTCAAGTTCAATTCAAGTTTATTTATATAGCACATTTAAAAACAACACTAGTTGACCAAAGTGCTTTCCACAATAGACAACAAATATACATGACAACAGTAGAAAAAGTAAAAAATAAAATAAATGTCACTACTCAACTCTGTTTGAAGGCCAATGAATAAAGATAGGTCTTTAGCAAGGATTTGAAAGTGTCAGGAGTTTGGGCATTTCTTATTTGAACAGGTAAAGTATTCCAAAGATTAGGAGCAGCTACTGAGAAGGCTCGGTCACCTTTAGTTTTTAACCTGGATCTGGGGACATCAAGGAGCATCTGATTGGATGACCTCAGTGCTTTGACCGGAGTGTGTACATGTAAAAGTTCTGATAAATAAGAAGGTGCCAACCCATTTAAAATTTTAAAAACAAGCAATAAAATCTTAAAATCAATCCTAAAGCGGACAGGAAGCCAGTGGAGCGAGGCTAAAACAGGGGTAATGTGCTCACGCTTTTTAGTTCCTGTTAGAAGTCGGGCTGCTGCATTCTGGACTAACTGTAACCGATGGAGAGATGACTGATCCACTCCAACATACAAAGAGTTACAGTAGTCGAGACGAGACGTTATAAATGCATGTATTACTCTTTCAAAGTCTTTGCGTGGTAGGTAGGGCTTGACGTTGGCCAACAGTCTCAGCTGAAAGAAACTGGCTTTTACTACAGAACTAATCTGTTTTTCAAACTTAAAAGCACTGTCAAAGATCACACCTAGATTCTCGGTAAATGGACGACTATATGTTCCTAAAGTACCAAGAACATCTATACAAGCACTTAAATCGACTAACACAACAACCTCAGTCTTACTTTCATTCAGACAGAGAAAGTTCTGATTCAACCATATATTAAGATCTCTCAGGCAGTTGAGCAAGGACTGAGTTGCAGCTTTGTCGTTAGATTTTATAGGTAAATAGATTTGTATGTCGTCTGCAAAGCAATGAAAGGAGATGTTGTGTTTTTTGAAAATGGACCCCAATGGCAGCATGTACAGTGAAAAAAGCATGGGGCCCAATATGGACCCTTGGGGGACCCCTCAAGAAAGAGGGGCAACAGATGAAGAAAATTCACTGAGGTGAACAGAGAAACTTCTATCCGCCAGATATGATTGAAACCATTTGAGGGCTGTGCCGCTAATGCCAACACTGTTTGAGTCGGGATAAGAGAATGGAGTGGTTAACCATATCAAAGGCAGCAGTCAAATCTAAAAGCACCAAAACAGCAGAGTTAGCAGCTAAAAGGAGATAATTAAAAACTCTTAAAAGGGCAGTTTCAGTACTGTGAGCTTAGAGATAGGTCTAAAATTAGAGAGGTCTGAAGTATCCAGATTGTTCTTTTTGAACTGCATGTTTGAAAGCAGCTGGAACACACCCTGAGCTGAGAGATGTATTAACCAAGGCGACAATGCTTGATCCAACAGCGTTAAAAACATCTTTCAAAAAGCGTGCAGGAATACTGTCAAGGGGGCAGTTTGCAGGACGTAGTTGCTTGACTATGTCAGAAAGAAGGTGGAATGTAACTGGCTCAAACTGCAGGAAGACAGCTGGGCTGACAGGGGGGACAGAGGGGTCACTGGTAAATGTAGTGGGTGAAAAGCTAAGACCGGCAATTTTGTCTATAAAATATTTCAGGAAGTTTTCACATAAAATTGTAGATGGCACAACACAGTCTGATTTGCGAGGGTTAACAAGAGAGTTAAAGACATTGAAAAGAACCTCAGGCCTCTAGCTGTTATTTGCTACTACATGGGATAAAAATTTAGTTTTAGCAGATTTTACTGCTCTCTGGTATTTAGATCCCGCAATATTGAGACTTGAAGTTTGTCCTTTTTCCACTTTCTCTCAGCTATTCTACAGGCATGTCTGAGAGAGCAGGTAGTGTCATTCAGCCAAGGCTCTGAAAATGGTTTAGAGCGTTTTTCCCTCAGTGGAGCAACACAGTCCAATATCTCAGTGCAAGTACAATCAAATTGGTAGGTGAGTTCCTCAACACTGAGGTTGCAGCCATCGAGATTGTACAACAAAACTGTGAGGCAGTTAAAGGGTTAATTGCACGCACATTGTGTGCCGGAGCACAGGTAGAAATCTCCAAACAGGGGAGAGCCACAGTAAATAAGACAGGTAGATGGTCTGAAATGCATGTGTCACTGTGAGGTTGCTGAGCAACTTTATCTTCTCATCTAACTCTGAACAAGCAAGCGAAAAGGTATTTTCCAAAATGCGTAACTATGCCTTTAAAGTTAATCAGACCAAATCAGTCTTCTGTCTGTGAGGCTGTGTGAACTCTGTGGAAGATTTGAAGTGCCTAATATTTACAATCTACTGCAGATTTGATCAATGTGACTTGACCTTATATAATTTGACAATTTGCTTTATCAAACAACTGCATGACCACTCCATCTTCTCTTGTATCTCTCTTCATGCTCATGACTACCCTATGAGAACCCTATAAAGAATCTGCAAGATAACACTTGAGAATCACTTTCCTGAAACAGACAGGAAAGAGCATCAAGCTTATTGCATAACTCTGTTTCCATATCATGTCAGGATTCACCTCTCTATCACGTAGTAAGTGTGTCACTGGAAAGCTGCTAGGCCTAGTGGTCAGATTTGTCACTAGGCCGTTATCTCAACGAATCGACTTACTGTGTCTGAGCAGGAAAGCACCTCAGGTCACTCAGATCACGGCAGTGCGTCAGTGAGGATAGAGGTTTAGCACAGAGAAGGAGCTTTCCAGTGTTACTGCGTGATAGGACAACATGCAGATATAACCATAGTGTTCTAAATAAGTAGTTAATCTACTTTATGAATGGTTTGTGCTGGTAAGAGGAGGAAGGTATTCTACATGTAGACATGACAGCAGGTGAGTGTAGCTGGTGCCAGGCCAGAACAGAGTGTGCAGAGGTTGACGTCACATCAAGGCCGAATTATGTTGACATTGTAATGGAAAGACTCTGGAAAATTCTACTTCTAATTCTACTCACACTAGTCTCTCTCAGGTAATCCTTGCACTGTAACTATGGAGGTAATTTGTACCTTGGCTAGGGCTTCAGTGAGGAAAGCAGGATCATGCAGCATTAATTGAAAGGACAATTAGCACAGCGTAGCCTTGATGTCTCTCCTTTTAAATGCAGATTAGAGGGTGACACAGGAGTGGATTTTCACTTCTGTCCCACCCACTCCCACAAAAATACTCCTGTCCCATTCCAATGCTGGTAGAGTGACTCTCATCCCTACCTGTTCTTGATAATAATAATTAAAAAAAATACCGTTTATATATATATATTAGAACTCCACATTTACATATAAAAACGAATGATTCCCATCCTGCCTGCTCCTGCCTGTTGATTTTTTTATTCGTGTCCCATTCCCTGATGAACAGTGAAACTGATTCCCATTCCACAAGAGTCCCATGACCCACAGGAGTCCTGAAAATATGTCAGCCTCTAATGCAGATTAACTCCTAATTACGGCCTCTTTAACATATACGCAGGTGGATTTATCTGGATCAAGTTCAGGTTCCTCTCAATTAAACTCTGCCTAGTAATTTGTTATCCGTTGGCAGAGAGAACAAGCTGAGATACCAACAGAAGAAGTACAAAGAGGAACTGTGTGTGATTATCTGTGTTTTCCAGATATGTTTGAGTTAATGCCGCCAGGTAAAATTTGTTTCAATTTGCAAACTAATGTCACCACACTTTCCACTCATCCCTCTTCATCCCCACTTGACCCGTCCTTCTTCCTCTCCCACTGCTGCTCCTAGTCTCTGCAGGAGGTGAAAGAGAAAGTGGAGCAGGGCTATCGCATGGAGGCTCCAGAGGACTGCCCCCCTGGTGTTTACTCCCTGATGAGGATTTGCTGGGAGCAGGAGCCACGCAAAAGACCTGCTTTCCACAAACTGAGAGAGAAACTTGAACGAGAAATGGCTAAAATCAGCCCAAGCCCTGGGTCCCAGCATGGGGATGGGATCAGGTCTGGATGCTGATCTTGGCTGGGAATCTTGAACTCACAAGGGTGGGAATAGAGTGCCGGCATATTGTCACCCCCTCTCGCACACATAACTGTTCCAACTGGATTCCTTTAACCTAACGGATGACAAGATGATCATTATGTTTCTCTGGTCATCATGTTATACCAATGAGAAAGTGTTTTAATGTTTTTTTGTAAACGGAATATACTAATGGGTGAATCAAACCAATAATGTGATCAGATTTTTTGCCAATCATGGATTGCCAGAGGATGAATCCAAATAACTTTTTACATTTAAAAATATGTTGAAATTGCTTTTGACTACAAAAAAAGGGATGAATTGGATTTCACTTTAAATCTCTCAGACAACAAACATTTAAAATCAACCCACAGAGCAATGCACAGGCACAATTTGTAAAGTCTGTAAGTCTGGTGATATTGTTTTTTTTTGTCAACATGGCCCATGTAGAGAAAAAAACAACAATGCATGAATCCCACTAATAAATATTGTCCATGTAGCTAGAACCCAATAACGTGTTCATCTGTATGCAGGGCTGGACTGGCAATCTAGCATACCAGGCAAATGCCCGGTGGACCGACGCACCTTTGAGGCCGGTGTAACTTAAATTATTTATGTTTTTAAAAACATAATAAACAACAATCGGCCCATAAAGCACGGACAGCGGCTTATTGGGTTATTTTCTATAGGCTACTGACACTATACTGACACATCTCTCACTAGCCCGCACACCCTCTGCTCTCTGTTTTTTGTGTTGCGGGCCAAAAAAAAAAAACAGATGCCGCCAAATGCGCGAAAATAACCGATATGTTTGCTACCGGGGCTGCGGTAGCTTCAACATCAGCTGCAGTATCCGTCATACAGCAGGCACAGGCACTAGAGGGAGTAAAGGAGAGCCGTGGCCACTGCCAGGTAGAGGAGGTGGCGTGTGTGACAAAGTGACAGAGCCAGAGACAGAGTGAGCAGGAGGAGAGTGGAGGTGAAGCGGTAAGCATGCAGTAGCTTATCCTGCAGGGAGGGAGCAGGGAGGGAGCAGGCAGGTAGGGTCATTTACACTCTGGACGCTGGGGACGTGTACCCACCACTTTTTGTAAGCATTTGTTAAAAATATTCTCAAAAATAGCTATAAGAAAGGTTCACAATAAGAAAACCTGCAGTGCAATGTCAGTGTAGAAGAAACCTCTGCGTTATCCAAAAAAGGAACTTAATAATAATAAGGTACTCATTACTGTATTTTATATATGTATATATATATATATATAGGCCAATATAAATATTCTGAATTGTCATATTCTGAATTTTGTGCTTCCTTTAAGAAAATGTCTCCAGAAGGCAGGAAATTAAGTGTTTAATGCTCAAAATCTTCTGGGGGAGGAACTCCAGACCCCCAATCGAACATTTTTTTCAATATATATTTCTCCTACATAGGCCTATTAAAATATATTCTTGTCTTGTAGTCATGCCCACCAATCTTGTGCAATGTCACGTCTCAGTGTTTCGTAACACCCCTAATCTGACCCCATAAATGGAAGGATTGTGTATGGGTGAGGGGTGTCCATCAGATTTTGGTGGGCTGCCTCGGCCAAAAATGCCAAGGCCAATTTTTTTGTCCCAGTCCATCCCTGATCTGTACCACAGACATCCTGTTATCCAGAACCATAAAAACACATCCATGGCCCAGACCTTTTCACTGGTTGACATTGTAATGAACATGGTAGTTTATTTTGACTTACTTAAAGGTGGGGTAAGCGATTCTAACCCAGTACACGTCTTGAAACAGAATCTGGTGTTTATACACAGTCCTGGCTCTGTAAATGAGAAACAAACAAAGTGGCTTGGACCAAGCCTCACAACACTGTTCCAGCCATGATTTACGTGTCAGATAATGTTACATGTCTTGCCCAGAGACATTCAGCTTACTTTCTAGTTCACCATGCTGTTGTTGTGGCATTAGCTATAGTCGCAGGAGAATTGTGAGTATCGCTGTCTGGTGCTGGTGTGCTGGCTCTGGAGCTGTCAGCAGCAGCAACTGTAGCAACAGTTTGCTAACCCACAACTTAGCTAACGTTAGTTACATTACTTGCTGTGTCATTGTTCGCTCTATATCATGTTATTGTCATGGTATTGGATTTCTCCAGAATTGCTTACCCCACCTTTAGCTTCAGAGCACAGCTGTTTTAGTAAACTGGCACTTAAAAAAAGAAGCTTTACATTTAAAGATTTGTTTGTGCCACAGGAAGTTTATAATAGGTTTTGTTAATGCTAGCAAAAATACAGAACATGGCCAGTCTCATCTTTAAACAGTATTGTGAAGCTGGATGATGAGTAGTAGTAGTAGTAGTAGTACTTGGCAGTACAGGCCCAAGCTTTAAGTTTGTATCGCCTGAATAACATAAAATGTGTCTGAATGTCGATCCAGTCAGTCTGGTAAGAGTAGCTGGGATTTTGTGTCTGTTACCATATGAATATGGCACCTGTATGATCAAAAATCTGCTGTTTTACAAAGAAGAATAAATACAGATATTTAATGTCAGGGAGAGATGTCAGAAAAAGATTAAACGTGTATAGAAGGCAGAAAAGAGGAGGAAAAATGTTTATCCTGGATTTAATCACAGATCACCCAAATCTGCTTGCATCCCAGCATTAATGCCTAGCAATATGGACGCAGGGATTAATATGACAAAATTTACTGTTAGTGCCGGTTTACAGTAAGTAAAAAATTTTACTTGTAACATTCAGCATTTAGCTTGTATGCCGAGAAAATTGGGTGGGTTTGACACAAACCCTAAGGCCTTGGGGTAATTCCCCTACAGCACGGTAGCTTTTTCAATTTTATGAAGGCTGGAAGTCAAAGATGAACTATTTTTGAGATTTTGTCCATCACACACTCCACTGGTCAGCCATGTTGGGGCGGACTTTGATTCAATTCATTGAAATTTAATTTGTTTTGTAAGACTAAATCTACGGGCAAACAGCATTTATTACTGCTTTCTCTTCTGTGTTTATAAGGATATTGAGAGTGACTTTGCATTGTCCACCGTCCTCTTGGGATTTTTGCAGGTACAGAATGTTTTCTGATTTCCAAATCTTGAGGGGAAAGGGATTTTGGACTGCAGATTATTATTTTATATAGTTACAAATTCTATTTATTAAAGCATATGTATCGCATTCATCTCACCGTATTTGATTGTCAGCTGTTTTTTAATAAGAATGCAATAAAATGTTTCTCTCTGATAAGAATAATACACTTTAAGTTCAAAATGCACCCGAAGATGAAGCCTCTGTTTTTGGCTTGTTGTCATGTCACAAGACCAAATTAAAGTTGTCATTTGATTTAAGTCTACGTAAGCCTGGTATTTGTCACTGTCCCAGGAGATGGACCCAATTGAGACTTGATCCTCCGTCTCTTGTTATAATATACAGAGCGAGCGAGGTCGTCTGCGATTTGTTCAATCTGCTCTGTGTTCTCCTGAAGCTCTCTAATGGGATGAGCAGCAATTTTCTACACAAGGATTTATAAAGGAGCCAAATGTAAAAAAAAAAATAATAATAAAAGATTTGCCATCTTTGACGGAGATGAGTTAAACATTATTGTGAGTGATTTTCTGATTTTTTTCTGAATATCAGCAGTTGTGTCTTTACTGTTGATGCACTGATAGCAGGAAAACACTTTCGTCCTGCAGTCCATATGTTAATGGTTGAGCTCTTAAGACTTTTTTCTCTTAGAGTGTAATGCCATTTAAGGTGTGCTTTCAAGTAATATGTTAGGAGCTAATCTGCTATCTGGATTGACAGATAATGAGCTGTCAGCTGTTGCTTTCAGCATTTACAAACTCCAACACAGTAGACATGAAATGAAACACTATGCTTTTAAATGTTGACTCTCACCTTTATTTTAGAGTGTTAACATGTATAGATTGTAACACTTCTTACATATAATGTAGTACCCAAATTATTAGGGGACAAATTAATTAATTAATGTAATTGGATATATTAATATCACCTTAAAGTCCTCATATTTAATAATTGGTTGTTAATCCCTTGGCTGAAGTCTATGACATGTAGACATAAGTAGACACTCTTTCCTGGTGATGTTTGGCCAGGCCTGTACTGCAGCCACCCTAAATTTATTACTTGTTTTGGAGGCTTTTTAACTTTAGTCTGGTCTCATATGTCTACACCTTTTAAATATTTCTTCTGGTTTTCCAGCCTCATGTTGGCCTCCTCAGTGGAGCAACAAATAAGAGCAGACTCCAAATGCAACTGTCACACCAAGAATCAACTCCTTTCAAGACCTTTTATTAATTTACAGTAATGATGAAATGAAGAAACAGTTGAGCAGATAACCATCCAATTACAGTTGCTTGTTTAAATGTGGATGTGGATATCTTCAAATTAAAACCTAAAGCACTTTCACCTCTTTTCTTTCATATCCAATTTGCTTACACATGCATGTAAACAGCGGCTTTCTATTCTCTGTATTTATTGCTCGCTGACCATACATTTCTATTTAAGATTAATCTTCGAAATGCTTTCTAACAATGTTTCTTCCAGTCCCAGTGGAGTTTATCTTGATTTGCCTAAAATCGCTCTCTCTCTCTCTCTCTCTGCATTTGGTTCACTTTGAGTTGGGTCCAGGGCCGGACTGGGTCAAAAAAATTGGCCCTGGCATTTTTGGCCCGGTCGGACACCCCTCACCAATACACCATCCCTCCATTTAATGGTTTAGATTAGGGATTAGGGGCTACTATTTGGAAAAAAAAATATTTATTGACGAAATTTACGATAGGGAGGTCTGGGGTTCCTCCCCCAGAAGATTTTGAGCATGAAACACTTAATTTCCTGCTTTCTGGAGACATGTTCTGCACCAAGGAAGCACAAAATTCAGGTGGCGGGTGACAATTCAGCGTATAAAAATATAATAGAATGCAGTAATCAGTAGCTTGTTATTGTTTTTACCTTAAGTTACTTTTTATGGACAACACACAGTTTTCTTCTGTATTTACACTGCATTGCAAATAAACCTTTTTCATAGTATTTTTATTTGTTAATTAACATTTCTTGGTTCAAGCTATTTTTCAGAACATTTTTAGCAAATGCTTTCAAAAAGTGGTGGGTAGCCTACATGTCCCCAGTGTAAATGACCCTCACTCCCTGCTCCCACCCTACCATAGACTGTATAGCTACTCCATGCTTACCGCTTCACCTCCACTCTGCTCCTGCTCACTTTTTCACTCAGCCCTGTCACTTTGTCACTAGCTAACACACACCTCCTCCTCTGCCTGGCAGTGGTCACTGCTCTCCTTTACTCCTTCAAGTGCCTGTGCCTGCACTACGCAGCTGATGTTAAAACTACTGCAGCCCCGGTAGCAAGCGATTATTTTTGTGCATTTGGCGGTACGCCAGATTACCAGTCCAGCCGTGGTTGGGTCTTTACAACAGTAACTGACGAATCCTGCTCTGTATACCTTTAAGTATTATAGATTGTGGTCACTTCAGAGGGTGTGGGGTGAAGAGCAAAGGAGCCCTCTAGCTTTCCAAGCCAATTTAGTAGGTATTAGACAAAAGCTCTTCCAAGAAAACTATCATCTGACCACCTGTTCATCCCTGTAGAGCTGCTATAGTCAGCTTCAGAAACATACCCATCAAAGCAAGATCCCCACCCTGTGAACCTGACTGATTGGTGCTTATTTAAAGGGAAATGCTATTTTGTTGAGTTTTTGTTTGGTCTTTGTAAGCCTGAATGTTTTTTCCCTTATGAGTGTTGGTCATGATACATTTTATTCACCACATCTGTTTAGAGATCTAGCAAGAACAATGTCAAACATGGCAAACCTCCGAAAGATTTTTTTTTTAAATTGGAAACTGTACATTTACTCAAGTACTTTGTATTTCTATTTTATGTTATACTTCTCACTATATTTCAGACTATGACTTGTTAACTTCTCAGATGTTTTTATTTAAAACTGTTTGCAGCCCAGGGAGGTCAAATTATCCATTATTTCATTAAAAGAAAGCATTGATTATGACATATTAATACATATTTGAGTAGCAGAATTGTATTTTTCTTCTTTCCTAACCCATAAATTATCTCACAACTCCCCGGATTAATCTTGTGACCCTTTGACGAATCTTTTCATTGTTGTATTCGTACTTTCGCTTAATAATTACAGCACTTTGAATAAAAATAAATTGAATAAACATTTTTTACTTCATGCCACAGAATCCACCTCTTCAGTAGACAAGAAACTTCAGTAAGGGAAGTTAATTGCACCTTGATGTAAATTATCCATCGTCTGCTCTCTGACTTTAACACTTATTAAGAAGCACAATAAGTAAGCACACATGCTTTGTTATTTTAACTGGGGCAAGTAGTTGATTGGTGCAAGCCATCAATAGTCTGGCCACGAATCAGTGGGTTTTCTGTCTACTGAAAATACCATAAGAGCTGTGTGAAGTATGTTTAGCCTTCAGAACAGTCTGTACAGTAAGTAAGTAGGTCTGGCTCAGCACAGTCCATTTGTGTCATGGATTGGTGTTAAAACACTGGCCATGCTTCTTCATGTGTGGAATTACATCTCCAAATAGGGAGAGTAAATGAGCTTTTCACATAATGATCACAGTCTGTTTTTATTGGTAGTATTTCGAACTCTGACATTGTCTCTTAAGCATATTTTCTCTTGACTGGTCCTAGTCATCATGTAGTTGTTCCTATGGACACGATCGCTATTCAGGTTGAAACAGATTAGACTAAATATGTGAAATGGATATCTGAAATGGACTTCAGATGAAAATTAGTCTGTATGGCTAAATCTGGCTCATTTACATTTGGGCATTGTCCTTATGTTTATTAATGTGCACTGTCCCCTTTTAAATAAAGACATAAATATCTTAAAGAAAAACTGTGAAGCTCAAACTGTGCCAGGGCAAAAATAAAATCAAGTGAGATTCAATTTGTGAACAAAAACGGATGCAATGCTGCTGACGGTCATTATATCAGTTAAGGCAGGTCAAAACGATCTTAACATCTTTCTTCTGTGTGTGCAAAGTGGAAGCTTATCCTGCTGGGGGGGCAGCTGTAATTTAATTATGGAAATAAGGTTAAGAGCAGCCTTCTGTGTCTTGGTCAGTCTGACATTAGACATTAGAGGGAATTTCAGGACAGGTTGACTGACTGGAAGTTTCATAATAATAATAATAATAATAATAAAATATTAATTAATTTCTAATACTTGTTATTTGGTGTGCACACAAATACCTTTAGTCTGACTGTAATTTACTTTCATTAAAAGATATACATGGTGCCACCTGCAGGGATAGGCATTTATGGAATCAGAGTCAGATCAGTCTCACTATTAATGAACGCACACAGAGGTATTCTCATATGTATTTCAGGATTTATATATAAATGGCTCTCCACAGTAAATATACTGTAAAAATAGTAAACAAATACGAATCATTGTATATAAAATAAATTATTATTAGTACATAAATCGTTTTTTAGTATTTGCATTTTCATTTATTATTTATTATTATTTATTTATTTATTTCAAGCAAAATAGTGTGACAACAGAAAAGATACACAATAATAATAACTTATACACTTATGCTTGAAATGGAGTGGGAATAAGTAAAACTTATTAAACTCCACCCCAGTCTATCAAAGAATTTATACATACAAAAAATAGCTGCTTCCTTCATCAATAATCTCAAAGAAAAAATATTAATAATTAAAAAAAAAAATAATAATAATAATACCTCATTTAGAAACAGTGGATGCACAAGTAAAAACCACACATTCATACCATACATACTAAAAATATACAAATATTTCCACAGGTAACAATGCTTATCATATACCAACAATGGTAGACGAAATACCACAAGGGTACATAACAATGATTATCAAATACCAACAATGGTAGACGGAATACCACAAGGGTAAATAAATGACAACTAATCCAACAATCTACACAACATGAATACAATCAAACCTCATAGTCATTGTAATGGAACCAGGCCTTTCGTTTGTAAAGACGTTTGAAATTGTGAATGCCTTGACACTGCTTTAATTCAAGCCCCAGATTATTCTACAAAGTAACCCCACAAACAGACATAGAATAACTCCTCCTGGTGGAACTCGCCATTGGTACCGCAAAGTTTCCAAATCCTCTCAAACTGTACGACTGCTCCTTATGAGAAAACATATTTTGAATGTTCACAGGTAATAAATAGTGATACGCTTTGAACATGAACTGTGCATTATAAAATTTTACAAGATCCTGCATTTTAATAGCTTTGATTTGAGAAAGAGAGGATTTGTGTGTTCAAAATAGGCAGCCTTGTGTATAATTCGTATAGCTCTTTTCTGTAGCAAAAAAAATGACTGTATTACATTTTTGTAATTATTGCCCCATACCTCTACACAGTAGGTTAGATATGGCTGTATTAAAGCACAATACAGGGTATGGAGTGCATTAAAATCAAGGATATGCTTAACTCTACTTATTATGGCAGGCTTTAGGAGACTTTTGTTGTTATATGTCTGATGTGGGCATTCCAACTTAGCTTGTTGTCTATCGTTATACCTA